AGAGAGAGAGAGAGAGAGAGAGAGAGAGAGGAGATACACCTCTCCATAGGTAGGGGGAGGGGTTCAAAGTTAAAAAAACATGGTGGCCACGGCTCAAAGAACATATGATCTGGCCAGTGGTTAACAAACTGATGGACTTTAAAAAAAAAATCATTTAAAAAATGTGGGGTATAATTCAGGAGTGGGTAGATAAGTGGCCATCGTATAGGTAAAGTTTAGGCATCCCGTTGTTCCCCACTTTGCATTGTTGGCGGTCGGGTGCCCTTCCAGATAAAAAAAAAAAAAAAAAAACACACCCATAACTGGAGGTACAGCCAGCTCCTTCTTGCCACTGGTTGCCTCATTGCACAGCCACCTACGCCACTTCATGTATCTGTAAATTGGCACAGATTTTATAGGCTAAGGAAATAGGGAAATGTTTACATGGTCTTGTTTTCAGGCATCCACTAAGCAGTTGGCTCACTGTAGGTTGCTGCTGCCCAAGGCTACCATCCAGACTTCTTGTGTGTTCCCATTTGCCCTTAAGAAAAGAATCTCTTCTGTTTTGAAAGTTCATAAGCCTGAAAAAAAAGAAATAGAAGTGAAAAGGGACTTAACCAGGTATTTCAGATCTTTTGGTAAGATCTGGTGGCAATTTGATGTCTTTGCATTACTTTTATAAAGAATCCAAGTCCTCATCAAAGTATGTGTGGTCAGAGAGGCTGGGCCTCAGATTCTCATGTTTCTGCATCAGTAACCAGACTTTCAAACCATCCTTGCTCTAAGGAATTTAGTGACCCAAAGGAGCACAGCTAATTATCTCTGATTATCACAGAGCTATCTTGTCAGTCTGCCCATAGAATATTCAGGCATTTCATTCTGGTCATTCTAATAAAAGTCTGTTTTCCTGAATCTTTTGTCGTAATTTAGTATTTATTTAAAGTTCACCATATAATAGGTGCTGATGTGTTCTTGACTCTTTCATCATTAAGGATATAATAAATCTTCAGGTTTCAGAATAACATTGCTAATGAGGTTTATTGTGTACCTGAGTGGTGGAAATGGATGCACAGAAGATAGAGAGGTTGACTTTAGAGGTTGATTCTAGATCTATGTATATACAGTATACAATCTGGAAATCACAAAGTATCTATCCGATTTTTATTTTTATTTTTGAGTTGGATTCTCACTCTGTCACCCATGCTGGAGTACAGTGGCACGCTCATGGCCACCACAACCTCTACCTGCTGGGCTCAGGCAATCCTTCCTCCTCAGTCTTCCAAGTAGCTGGAACTACAGGCACACGCTACCATACCTGACTATTATCTGATTTTTCAAATGTCATCTGCTCATGGTTAAACATCTGAACAGCCACAGAGTCTGTTGAAATGACAAACATATCCAGACCACATCTCTGTGCTACCAAGCAAACTTAAGGGCCTCTTGCCTCAATATATTGAAGATGGAAGACATCAATTTCCTGCCTGTTTGTTCTACCCATCTTTATGATGGTGACTTTTCTCCAAGGGCAAGATACTTTTTGTATCTATGAGCTTAAAAACTTTTTAAGAGAGTGAGGCTAACCCTTTTGCTCTCCTGAGGACAACGAATACCTTTTTATCTGAGGGTCCCTTTTGTGCCCCTCTGCCAGGAAGATGTTAAAACATATTGTTTTCAGCCGGGCTCGGTGGCTCAGCCTGTAATCCTGCGCCTTGGGAGGCCGAGGTGAGTGAATTGCCTGAGCCCGCGGGTTTGAGACGCGCCTGGGCAGCGAGACCTCATCTCTACAATAAATCAAAAATCAGCCGGGCGTGGTAGTGTGTGCCTATAGTTCCAGCTACTCGGAAAGCTGAGGCTGAAGGATTGCCAGAGCCCAGCAGGTCGAGGCTGCGGTGGCCAGGAGTGGCCACTGCACTCTAGTCTGGGCGACAGAGTGAGACTCCAACTCAAAAAAAACAAATTTCATTTTAAATTTTAAAATATTATTTTATATCAGAGACAGGGTCTCGCTATGTTGCTCAGCCTGGTAGTAAACTCCTGACTTCAAACGATACTCTCACCTCGGCTTCCCAAAATGCTGGGATTACAGGCATGAGCCACTATGCCCAGCCTTTTTTATTTATTTATTTTTTAATCATTTGCTCTGAAAGGCACTCTAGTTGTTAGGTTGTCATTGGCAGCTCATTACCGAGTTATCTTGTTATACACTCTTAAGGTACCCTGTACTTTATTTCACAGCACTCATCACAGTTTGCAACTATGCTTATAATTATGTCACTTTTCTACTAATGTCTGTCTCTTCCACTGTTTTAGAAGTTCTGTGAGATTAGGGATTCTGTTTTATTGTATCCAAAACACTTAATGTCTGGCACCTATAAATAGTTCTCAAAAATATTTGTTTGAATGAATGAATGCTTCCATCCATGTCATTGTCATTTCTGAACTTGTGCTAATATATACAACATAATAGTGCTTGAATTTAGGAATCATGTCAAGATACCTTCCAAAATTCTACACCTTTTATGAAACTCAGAATAAATACTGCTTTTACCCGGTTTGAGATCACTCCTCTTTATCGAAACCTGTAAGAATTTATTTCTAGTCGGGTCGGTGGCTCAGCCTGTAATCCCGTGCCTTGGAGGCTGAGGTGAGTGGATTGCCTGAGCCCGCGGGTCCGAGACCCTCCTGGGCAACTTGGTGAGACCTCATCTCTACAATAAAAACAAAAAATTAGCCAGGCGTGGTAGCGCGCACCTGTAGTTCCAGCTACTTGGAAGGCTGAGGTGGAAGGATCACCGGAGCCCAGCAGGTAGAGGCTACGGTGGTTGGGAGTGGCCACTGCACTCCAGTCTGGGCGACAGAATGAGACTCCAAAAAAAAAAAGAATTTAGTTCTACTTAGTTCTACTTTTAATACCAGGTTTTCTCCCACCTGCTGTATTGTGTTTCAAGGCTTAGCTCTCTTCTTCTTTTTTTATTTCATCCCAAGGGAAAGAGAACTGGTCTACAATGATATACTCAACTTTGTTTTCTGACCACCCCAGAGGGCCTTCACCTGAACTACCAGTTGGCAAAGGTCTGAACTGGGACCAGAGTTGGTTCTCATTTCTTTTCATCTTCAGGTAACAGAGATTTCCTGAAAAGATCATTCTCGAAATCTCTGTAAGGTCCAGTGTACTGAGTCAGTCCTCAAGTTAATCATAAGAACTATATACAGATACTTGAATTTTTTTTAAGTGTCAAGGTAGGCTTTCCTTTTTTAGTCAGTAGCACTAGGCCAAGGGCCAACACACAGTGATGGAGTTTATTTTGGCAAATTTGCTTTATGGAAGAATGTGTGGTATAGTGAAAGGAACACTGAATGAAAATCAAGAGACTTTATATCTCTGTCACTATCATTGTGACCTTAGACAAATCTTTTAACTTCTCTGAGTCTTAGTTACCTCATCTTCTTAAGTAGAGTTGGACTAGGTGACCAATTAGGACTTGTCAGCTCTTAAGCTATATAAATCTGTGCCTTGAAGCCGGGCTTGGTGGCTCAACCTGTAATCTCGCGCCTTTGGGAGGCTGAGGTGAGTGGATTGCCCGAGCCCACGGGTTCGAGACCTGTCTGGGCAACTTGGCGAGACCTCATCTCTACAATAAAATCAAAAAATTAGCCGAGCATGGTAGCGCGTGCCTGTAGTTTCTGTTACTAGGAAGGCTGAGGCGGAAGGATCACCGGAGCCCAGCAGGTTGAGGCTGCAGTAGCTGGGATCGGTCACTGCACTCCAGTCTGGGCAACAGAGTGAGACTCCAACTCAAAAAAAAAAAGAAAATGAAGCCGGGCTCAGTGGCTCAGCCTGTGATCCCGTACCTTTGGGAGGCTGAGGTGAGTGGATTGCCTGAGCCCGCGG